GTACACCTACATGTAGTTTTTAGCTGTGTAAATGTGCCATACATGCACTTACATGTACTGTCCATGCACTCGAGAGCTAATGTTAAAGCTTTTGGGGGTTAAGAGTACACAATAATTCCAGCATTTAGCAATCAGTTTCTTCTCCATGGAGTGTTTTGCAGATTTTGTTTTCACTGCATGGCATTTACCACATGTCGGCTTTGATTGATCTGAATGGCTCATTAAGTATTGGACTGCATATCAAAAGTTGGCCACTGTATCTTGCCTTTTTCCAAAGTCAATCTTTTTGGCCAAAGTAATAGCATCTGCACATGAGTTAAACAGACAAAACTAGCAAAGCCAGCCCCCTTCCTCTGTCAACACCTTTCCTCCAGGAAAAAGACAATCATCAGCGATTCCCTCTTGGTTCGCCTCGCCAACATGCTCTGCAAGGAATTTGGGGAGAAGGAACTAGACATTCACCTGACGCGCATCAAGGAGATATTGCTGAGAAGACATCTGGTCATAGTCTACGAGCTTGGCTCAGGCGACATTGACAGTGCCATACTGCACGCCCTCCTGACAGGTAAATGCCATTAATACTCGGCACCTTCTCAGCCACTGTTTCTAGTCAGGCGTGCTGATTTCTCACATTTTACTTTTTGTGTATGCCATTACAAATCAAAGAGCGGCGAATGAATTCTTCCCAGCTCTTGTAATTCCCATGCTTTTTGCCGATCGAAACCGTTCTTTGTTATATTATTGAGTGTTACTTTTAATTTGCCAAATTTAGTTTTTTGTGGGTTGACATTGATGATAGTTGTACTGAATTTGTGCTTACCAGCCAACAAGGGCCAGGTTCAAGACCAGTTGCAGCTTGCTCAGATGTGGAACAGAGTGGATGTTGCCAAGCGAGAAATCTTCACAGAAGACCTGGAATGGAAGGTTAGGTGTTACACTTTTCTGTCACAGTGATGAGTTTGTGATTCTGTCTGATGACTTTGCAACAAAAAGACTTTACAAGTTGTTGGGATTAAGATCTTAGATTTGTTTGCATGTACAGTCATTTGCAAAAGTTTAGGACCACCCATAGAAAATGCATTAACCTGAAGGAAAACCAAACTTAAACCAATCAATCATGGCAACTTAAGTTTATTTTCAATGTGTGTTTGGTACCTTTGTTGAACATTTTTGACTTGATTTCCATGATTTGACATGTTAACAGTCTATAAGTCTTGAAGGTTTGCATGGTGAAGAGGTATAATAGAAAGTAGGTTTGCGGTAGCACCATGGACGTATCTCTTTTGTGAGTATTTGCGGTTCTGAAAAGAACCAGTGGTACTCGACGTTTGGAGCAGTATGCTCTGCTGGTCATCAGGAGAATGCCGAATACTGACTGGGAGTGGAGCTTNAGCCCACCCTAAGTCAGTATTTGGCGGATTAATTAAGGAAGAAGTTGCGAGATGTGAGGGTATCTGCACAGACTCTATACATTTTGAGGAGAAGGTTGAATTCTTCAGGAACAACCTCATAAAAGGCGGATACTCCCACCAAGACATGACCCTTCTCCTTCAGAAAGGCGAAACTCACAAGAACTTGAGCAGACAGGCTAAAAAGAAGAAAACGAGACTCCGCTTGTCTTTGTCTTGCCCTACTACCCACAAGTGCTACATTCAGGATCAAAACAGGCCATTCTAAAACAAATATGGGAGTTAATCGACCTTAATGAATATCTTAGTGCGCTCTTCTCAACCAAACCCTTCATTGCATATAAAAACATAAGAATAACAAGGATGGCTAGTACGGACGAATTTTGTCGCTACTAGATGTGGAGAACATTCAAATCCTAATGGAACTCCTTGAGGAACAAAATTAAGAAATATCGGTTAGGCATGGAGTCCCACACCAGAAAAAAAAAATATTTGGAATCTGCCTACTCCGATCATGCACTGGCTTGAGGAACAATCTTTGCCATCAGTTGCAACAAAAAATATAAAAGAACCAGAAAAGGTGACTGATGAAGTGCGGAAAAGGGCCCAGAAGTAGTAGGGATAGGAGAGTTCTGGATCACCTCCTCTTTCACCCCATTTCACCCACACGCGCCGGGGATTCCCATTCACCTTGAACTTTCGACCCCGGCGCACTTTTCCTGTAAACAACTTGTGACCAGCACCGATCGCACCAGCAATCACTCACAAAAAAGGGACTTGCCCGACCTGAACTCGTGACCTTTACTTAAAGCGTGGCTTTGTTCAAAGCAAAACACGCTATGTTTACAACCGCCTTAAATGAATGGCCTATATATAAAAATAACAAAAAAACATGTCAGGTCAGGTCGTTAGAAAAAATGATAACAATTTTCAAAACCCACATATAAATAGAGACATGAGCAACCTACAACACCGACCTCTACTATCGACCTTTAATCGATTTAAGAAGGCGTTTTTAGAAGATTTTGTCAAGCGGTACAATATTCCATCACCGGCACCAAAAACAACCAAAACCCGTAAACCTCACACTAAACCCGAGCTTATGGAAGCCGTACGGGCAGATAAAAAACAATTTAGGTATCTCCCGCGCCAGTCATATCGGCAGCAGTTGAAAACGGTTCAAAAATATAATATTCCTTTTGCAAACAGAGGCAGATATGTCTCACAGAACTTTATTGAAGCGATTAAAGCTTATACTCAGCCCGACGAAATTGCGGATGTCGATATTAGAAACGTGAGGCGCTTTCAGGGTAACTTTCGCAATTGGGAATTGATACCCCGTTTGTTTGAATACGATTTGATACACTTTTTTTATTTTTACAAAACTTTCATCGAGAAAAAAGCGTTGGAAGAACTAAAAGAAATTGGTTCGTACAAATTTCAAACGGCTCTAAAAGTTCAGTTTAGATTGGAAAACCCCGAAAAAAACTGCATTTGACGTATTCCCCTTTCCGAGCGACAACGATGCAGTAGCAAATAAAGCCGACGTTAAAAACGCGCTCACTGAACAGAGGTGGAGGCTCATACACAAAAAGGCTTGGGTTGGATCTTTGACAAAGTTGTCGCTTTCTACATCAACGTGGTTAAATATAATCCAGCGGGTTCTTCTTACATTCCGTTGCCTAAAGAATTGGGAGACAAAAAAGCAATCATAAACGTCCAAAATAAAGACCAAGAATGTATCCGATGGGCGTTGCGGGCAGCTTTAAAGTTATATTCAGACGACGTCAAAAGTCAGTTGGAAACAAATCCAAAATATAAAATAAACAAAATAAAAAGAGCGAACATTGACTTACATGCTGAAGGCGTCAGATGGTTTAAATTTTACAAACATAAGCTTTCCAACACCCATATCTGAGATCCCACGTATCGAATCGCAAAATAACTTGGCGATCATTGTGTTTGATTAGCCTACACCAAAAAAGACGGTCTTTACATTCTTTACAAAAGCGAGCGTCCATAAGAACCAACCAATTTACTTTACTTTAACAAAGGTGACGAAAATCACTACTGTTGGATTAAAAACTTTTCTCGGTTGACGAGTGATATCCATCATCACAACGGCCAAAAACACTTCAATTGCATGTCGCATTTCCAAACGGAAGAAAAGTTAACCAGACACAAAGAAGATTGTCAAGGCTTAAACGTTCCCACATGTACGGTCGAGTTGCCGACCAAGGGCGAAAATATACTCAAGTTTAAAAATTACAAAAATAAACAAGACGCGCCTTTAGTCATTTACGCCGATTTTGAGTCTGTTTTAGAAAAACTACCGCTAACAGATACAAACACTCTCCAAACACAGATTCACAAGCCTTGTGGATACTCATACGCGGTTGTCAGATGCGATGGAGTTCGCACTAGCCAAAAGACGTATAGGGGTGATGACGCGGCTGTTAATTTTGTACGGTCACCTTCTCAGGAAACAAAGAAGATCACCGAAACGTTTAAAAATAAAGCGAAGTTGATCTGGTTACCCGAGTTACAAAAAAATCTACGAAAAGTGTAATAGCTGTTGGATTTGCGAAAAGTTGACAGACAAGAAAATAGAAGAATCTCATTGCCAGTGTGATATTCCAAATGAACCAAAACAAAATCTGACAAAATTGATTTCTGTCATAAAAATGAAGCTGGTTTCAGAGAATGGGTATACTATAAAACAGGGAAATACAGAGAGAGACACACACACCGCTAGATGGTTTTTGGAAGGCAATTCTATCTTATGCAGGCTGTGAGAAGTCTTTGACTTGTTGACTTCTTTACCATTTCAACCTGTGGCGGCGAGTTGTCTTTGGAGCGAAACTTTTAAGAAAAGTTCATCAAGACAAGTGAAGTGCAGAGCTGAATCTTGATTCTGAAGAGACAGTCTGAGAGCTGAATCCAGTTCCAGTTTGTGGAATTGCCAAGTTCCCGTACTTCCGATGGCCATCACGCCTTCGCTGTTTCCGTTTTGATCTCGGTTTATTCTTATTGGTCGTGGTCTTCGTCCCCGTAATAGATCACGGTTGCACCGTCAAGTACTGAACTATTTTTCGGCATTTGTGGAGTCCAGCGTTCTTCACTGACAAATGCCTCGCCGAATTCTCGCCCGTAAAAATACTTCGTTTTTATGGGATATTCTTTATCATTGTGAACTATTTCCCATCAACATTTTTTCTTTGTTGCTATTTTATAAGTGTAACATTCTCATTAGAACATCTTGCTTATTTGTTCCTGATATCAGTATGATCTTGTTTGATTTCTTTGTTGCATCGGAGAAAATTCGAGCTTTGGAATAATTACTTTCCATGAATAGTTAGGACTTGTCGGATCGTAACAAATTCGATATAGTCTTTCAACACGGGTACATGTAATTTCCTTTTGGAGGGGGGGCACAGTTGAAATGAATCCCCATACACCCCAGGTACAAATTCCAGAGATGAAAGGCACCTCATTCTAGCCGGCTACAACGTGTATAGCCCTCGTTTGGACCTTGTTGTTAACTATGTGGAACAGGACGCTGTTCCAGGAGGCAAACTAATTTCCATATTCTTTCCTGGCGCAAGACGTGGTTGTGACAGCTATACGTTTCACAAGCTATATTTTTGGTGGACTAACATTTCTTTTCTTTTGTAACTCCCCACGCATAAATCTTTGACATTACGTACTGAAAGGGACAGAATCAAAGTGCGCAACCCTCTTAACGGTAAAAGTACGCCGTACTTTATGTCCAAAGGTCAAGGCGCTCGTTTGTGCAAAAAGAACTGCAAGCCGTACCCGAAGACGCAAAGCTATCCCCGATCAAATGGTGACCGAACACCGACGTGTCTGTTTTGTTCGGTAGCAAGTACCTCTGCTGTTACAATGGAATGCATATTGTGTCTGAAACATACACATACGCTGTGCACTTCGCCTCGAAAATTGTTTTGGATTTGCCGATGACTTTTTGTTTTCTTTTTGGTGGTCTGGGTGGTCTCGCTAGCGTGTTGTGACAAGTCACGGTAAACGTCTTCAGTAAACACCGGTAAAAGCAGACTGTTAATGTATGTGTAATTTCTTCTTTTTTGTCGCAAAGTTTCCTTTTAATCGCTGGTAATAAAAGTCGTGCTTGAGCGTCTCAGGCAAATGAAGGATATACACACCGCAATAAATGAGTTTATCGTCATAAATGTGATACTGGTTCTGAAACGGTGGTGTAGCCAGAGGGTAGTGGTGGGAACATGCCCCAACAAATTCTCAGTGCCCCCAGGTGCCCCCACTGAGAAAAAAAAATAAAAAAACCGGACGAATGGATATTGAACAAGGCTAACATAATTTTTTCTCCCCCAAAATACGACAAGTTGGTCCCCCCCAGAAGCTTGTGCCCCTTTTGTGTCCCCCTAGTAAAGTCCCAGCTACATCACTACTCTGAAAACCATTAATGATTCCTGCTCTAGAAGAATCTGCTTCGATCTTTCTGAGGTGTTTAAAATGTTTTTAAAATTATGACAATTTTTCTGCAGATGGTCAGTTTAGAATATGTCAATTTTTGGAAGAATTTGTAAATAAGCAATTTATACTGTAAAATAAAGTTAATCTTAAGGTGTATGTAAAATCGTATTGAAATCGGAGGATTTCGGTAATTTTTTTTAGACTTTATTTGGTAATGGCGTCACAGGTCACTGACCCGTGTCAAACGTCATTTTTACTCTTGATTCACACAGCTAAATTTCCACATCAGTGAAAAGAACATGTTCTTCTGATTAATTGGAAACCACATTGCACGTATTCAATGAAAAATGACAGGTTTGTGTGTCATTTTTACTAAAAGGGTGGAATTTTAAGTGAAAACTGTCCATTTTTGTTGATCTCTGCCTTGAGCGCATGGAAGGGCTGATTCCGCTAAAAACTGCCAAGTATTTATTATTCCTCAGTGTCTACCAGCACAGCAATTTCCATCGAAATCAGAAGACGTAAGGTCAAAAAGTGTTGGTCTGTCATGGAATGGCCCATAGTTCAAACGCCACACACATCTAAAGCTTGAAGGAACAACGTGTCGGTCGTGACCAAGTGTTTAGAAATGGAAGTTTGCTACAAAAGGTGGGCTCTAGTGTAGTATTCTGAAGTTGCGCTTTCTTATTTGATGCCACCGTAATAAATTATGCAAACTTATCAAACGAGTCCATGTATACGGGTACACACCTTTATGCAAGACTAACTCGATTCTTTTGTGTCCTGTGCAAAGTGGCCCTTCAGTGAACTGAAGGACTACTTGGGGCAGGATTTCACTAGCTTGTCAAGCAACGTTGCCGTAAAGTGGAACGGGTTGTAAAACGCAATTGTCCACGCGTAAACGAAACATATTTTTCAGGGTTTTTAGCGACATGACTTTGCCGTCTCCAAATACAAAAACGCTTTACATTATTAAATGTACGTCTTATTTTTATAGATTGTGGAAAATAATGGGGATGGGCGTTATTTTCTGATTTATGGTTTGAGATGCTTCTTAGCGTACCCATCGCATGGCAGTAGTCTCACGTTTGTGAAAAACTTATTAATTTTCTCGTTGCAACACATATATTAAAAAAATAATAATAATTTTCAAACGAGGACGCTAGTTTTTATCGTGGGTTCCTGCGTTCCTTGAAAGCGCGCATTGGCATTTGGGCTCGTACTTTGGGTACAAGGGATTTCGCAGACCCAACACGTGTTAATGTTGACTTTCTCTTTAACTAGAAACTCAATAAATCGTTGTGAAGAGAGACTGCTGCACCCCACACGACGGGACAAAAACCGCAAGCTTTGTGCAATCGCGTTTTGGTTGGGTTACCCGGCTTGGTAATTTGTTTCAGGGTCTTACTTTGCTAGCATAGGTTCAAAAGCTGGTAGTGGTGCTGGAGGAGGAGGAAACCCTGTTCGGAAAAATGTAAAAAAAGCCGAGAAGTTTGGTCAGATATGAGAATCAAAGATTGCAAAGACTTTCCTGCAATAGCTCAGTTGATTATAGTCTCCATGTTATTTTGTAAAATCATACAGTAGTAAATGTGTATGTACTTGGAACATCACCAACGCTGTTCACAGTGCAAAAGGCGACCCCACCCACGTAAAAATAAAGCAGCCGTATATTCAAATTTGCGGTTCATGGAAGATCCTATTCATCTGTCAAAGATTAAAGATTACTTACCACTGCCCATGTTTGGTTGGGATCGCGAAGGAGACAGAGTAAGGACGAATGGGATGTCTAAGGCCTGCGCCAACAGTGGGCTACAAGGTATACAGTCGTCTGCCATAAGCATGTCAGATCTCTCCTCGTGTAGCCGTTTCATTGTAGCTGAGTCATTAAACAGGGCGTCACCCATACAAAAAATATCTATAGAATTCTATAAAAAGGAATTCTATAGATTATCTATAGAAATTTTTCTATAGTGCTGTATAGTGTTTCTATAGATTTGGTTCTAAAGGATCCTATAGAGTTTCTAAAGAAAACGTACAATAATTCTTTAGATTTTCTATAGACTTTCTTTTAGACTTTCTATACAATTCTTTAGATACCTCATAGAAGTTTTCTATAAAGATTCTATCATGAATCTATATGTATATTCTATAGATTTTCTGAGAAATTTCTATAAACTTCTAAAGACAGCTATGGTGCATCAGTAGTGTATGCATGTAGTCAGTCTATGGACATACATGTATTTACTAGACATGAACATGGCTATCAAATTTGTGTATCCTAGTGTTTGACACACCATTCTGAGCAACTTTAAAAGACCTCTGCTTTTTACTGGAGTCGAATTCAGTCACTTGTCACAAACTTAGAACAATTATACTGCAAAAGACAACCAATTACGAACTGACACACTGGAATTTTGTGCATGTATTATATATATTTTATTTCTGAAACGGCTCGTTTTAGTTTTTTCTCTTGAAATAAAAAAGAGGGTGGCAATGTATCCGTAGCACACTTCTACGTTTAGGCAAGAGGGCAGATCAAGTTTTATGTACATGTATATATACTTCTTACTGTAAAATGCTTAAACCCTAGCCCCCAAGGGTTGCTAGCGCCTATAACCTTCCCCATTCACACAAAGTTAAACACCCATATGGGACTTTGTGCACAGAGGCTGTTGGACTTTGTTTTTCTAAGGTATGCCAAACCCATGCAAAAGCCAGCTGTTATGGGCCTACCAGACCTATCCCCAGAGAATTAAACACTTTACTGCTGTTTAATTCTGTGTGGGGAAGGTTATAGGGTTAATGAATGTAAATCTAACTGTGGCAGCTGGTCACACAATATAAAAATATAAAATAGAGTAAATAACATCTTACAGTTGGTTTAAATAATGATGATTAAAGAGCAACTCAAAGAAACACATGTTTTCTCTGATTTTATCTGTTGAAATAAATAAGGAAGCATCCAAATTGAATGCAGTGTTATTTGTCTTTGGAGCTCAACTATAACAAGCTAAAAGGGCTTTTCCTGTTCATGCCAAGATGTGAATTCTGAAGATAAGTCATTTTGAAAAACCAGAGAAAGTGAGGGGAACCCTCACCCTGTGTTAGTAGTGCATAAACCCTTGTTCATGTGAAACAGGGCATGTAGCCATTGTTTGTAGCTGTTTTCTAGTCCCTTGGTTTCGATAGTTCCTTCACTTTGTTGGCAAGGGACTGACGTAGCAGGACACCGGAGGCTGACGGGAACCTCTTCAAAGTGTAGTCTATATGGGAAAACAATTTGATAGCATGCGCCAACATTAAAAAAATTGAAAGAGCAGCTATTTTAAGTAACCACCTAGGACAAACATGTAGATGGGTTTACATGTACAGTACATGTATAGCACCAAAATTTTCCTGAGCTTAATAGTCGACTACAGGTACATGTATGTCCACATATTTGGTTACTTTAGTTTGTGTTTGGCTTAGTCTAAAACAAGATATGAACTGTTAATCAATCACTTATTGTCATATGAGACTAACTGATTTACAAATATGGCAAACTGCTCAGGTAGGTGGCCATTCCGGTTTGGAGAATTTATCCAAGACAATGCAAGCAACAAGATTGGAGGAGGAATATTTAAACTTTTTCAGGCACAGAACATATGTTCATGGTCTTGACAATTAGAAAACATACCGAGAAGAGCTTTCACTCTTGCAGGGTCAAGAGCTTCCTTTGGGCCCTTGTCCTGATGGGCGTTGCTCTTCTTCCCCGTCAAGCTCTTGCCCATCACTTCATCCCTGCTGAAGAGGGCAGAAAACAGATTCCTGGCCAACTTTGTTGCAGTGTCACTTCCCTGCACAACGGTCAGAAGTTGGCCCTTGTCCATGAGGACACCATACCCAATGTCAACCTGAAAAATTGTGCAAGATAGGGAAAAAGCATTTTATTTTCCACAGATACAAGTTGTAACAACCAAGTTTAATGGTTAATCATGGCCATTTTACCAAGGAATATGACATTTGTCATACAACATCACCATTTATGTAGGTTAGTGCATTTCCTGTGACCATGCTGACCCAAGGGCATGTGAAGATGTGAGCTAGAAATTTAGTACAGGGGAGCTGTGATCCTTCAAGACAAAATATCCTTCCCTAGGGTAAAAATTGATTGTGAACCCTACGTTGAGAGAACATTAGCATTGTCAGAGTGGGACAAATGAAAGTTATGAAAATTCATTGGTCTCACAATGGTATAATCTCTTGACTCTACCTTGCTTTTGCTGCTTGGCTTCTTGACTGGAGTAGAGTCAGAGAAGGATGTGTCCCCATCATTTTTCTCTGAAGCCAAAGTATATGTAGCATTGCTACACAATACCTTCAGCTGATCCACAACAGTGTGCAATTCTGAAATAAAACACCACTTAATTAATTAAATATTCGAGCATTGTTTTACAAACGGGCTATCATTTCCTCTTCTTAAAGTTATTTTCAAGAAAGTTGCAAATAACACACAAGAGAATACGAAAAATGTAGAAATGCACTTTACCTGAGCATAGGCCCTACATGTCTTCAGTAAGTGAACAGCAACATGAATTAGTTTAAAGTTTTTCTTTATATTGTAAACTGACTTAACCTACAGGGACTTTGCATACAGAAAAAGAAATCAGAACCATGCTCTGAACAGGGTGCTCTATGTAGTGCTTTTGGTGGCTTTTTCTCTAGCACAAATGAACATGTATATAGTACATAGTGCATGAGAATGTACACATACACGTACCTATTTGTTAGATATTTTCCAAATTAGGTTAGGCTTGCTAGATAGTTTCTGAATTTACCTTTGAACTTGGAGAGCTCAGCCACCTCTGCTGACAGCCTGGTCCTCTCAGCTTTCAACTCTTTATACTTGGCTCGAAGGCTGTCATACTTGGCACACCTGCAATCTGGTTTATGTGCAAGTTCCTCCTCCTGGTTACGAACTTGTCTCCTCTGCAGCTCATCCAAGATGGCATGGGTTGCCACAGGAGCTTTTTGCTTCTTCTTAGCTGGCTGTAAAGTCAAACCACAGGGAAAACATGAAGTGTACATGTGTATAGCCCACAATCAGCTCAATTATTTCAGATAATTGCTTTAGTACATTTTCTCTAAGTCATCCTACATTTTTCACCAGATTCCCCTTTTTTGCACAATGTCATATGCTTTTAACTAAAAAAAGCAATGCTGAAATGGATGGATTTCATTAATAAAAAGTTCAACACATGTTTTTTCCCCCTCACAATTTTTTTATATATGCTGTGGATATAGCATGACAGCTATTGAAAATTTAGACCATTATCACATAAAATACACACACCTGTTCAAACTCTTCGAAATCTGGATCACTCTCTAAACGAGCTGGCTTGCGGGTTTTTCTCCGTCCAACACCAAGTTCCTCTTCCCTGACTGAAATGGAAGACTCACTGGTCCCTCCATCATTTTTGGTCCTCTCCATTTCCAACTTCTTCTCCATCTCCTTTTGTCTCCCTGAAATTGCCAAGAAGAGTTTAATTATAATTAATACCTAGTTCTACGGCATTACAAAAAATGGAATGCTGAATACACGTTATTTCACACGTGCGTATTTTTATTTTACTTAATGTCAAATCCACTTAGAGATTTCTATGCCTCATACACACCTTACGTCTTTCTTTACATGCTCAGATGTTCTCATTGACCATGTCGACTGCCAAGTACATGTTGAAGCTTTACCCATATGACTATAGGCAGTGGGTGCTTGGTCCGAGTTGATTTGGGTCCGAGTTATAGTTTGGGTCCAAGATGGCTTTGATCTGAACCTAAGCGCTATGATGGAACTAAACTACATGTAATTTAGGCAAGGCAACTCTTGGGCTTAAAACTCTCAGTTGCCAAATGGCTGCCTTTTGAGCTTACCTGCATAATATCGGCCCTACATGTATATGAAAAAAAATAATCGGACCGATGCTCTAATCATCGAAGATCGATTGAGACTCAAACTTGTGAATGAATTAAATTGCCGGAAGTGGAATAGGATCAACAGATTGATCCAGCGTATGAGCGCAGCAGGCCTACAAAAGTGCATGTACATGTACACTACAGTCACAAAACTACAGGTAAAATAGTTCCAGACATTTCTGCTGGCAATAAATACGTCATGGATTTGGACAAATCAGAAAGGACTAGTCCTAGGGCAGAAGACCTTTAGTACGGAATTTGTTGCCAATGCCGCGGTTTAATATCCACTGCCAGAAATGAATTTCCTAAACTAATTTACTATAATTTATAAATATATTAAAATACAATCAGGTAACAAAGAAAAGAATGACGCCAAGTCCTACTTACCATATGCCAAAATGGTACATGGTGCAGCTTCCCGTCCTCTCCGCCAGTAAAATTCAAAGACTCTTTGAGAATTACGGCCATGACCGCAGCCTGTCGCGTCTCGAAGGTCGATCTCGGTGATCACACCGACTGCATTCTTGATGGGAAGAACATCCCACATGTCTTCCTCGTTGACCCATTTTACCAACACGAACAGGGAGCACCCAATTCCTGCCATTTTTTAGTCGAAAGCGTTGGACAACAATTCTGAATAATGTCGATCAAGAATATGACATGTATGACTGAGGTCGAGTAACGTGAGCACGCTTGCGCTTCTATTCTACGTGTGGCTTGAAATTACGCGCCTGAGCTAGAGAGAGCTGGCTGTGTGCGTGCGTGGCAAATTTCATTGGTGTCCGTCCTTGAATGCAGCATGGAGCCCATCAGGGTACCAGTGATAAGCTTTTGGGGGGTGCTTGTATTGGTTCATTTATGGAACCCCCTATGCTCAATTTGCTTAGACTGGTTCCCATCCCAATCGTTGATTGATGTTCAGAAACATGGGAGAGAAAGGGAACTAGTCTACCTGCTTTGCGCACGTTCCCAGAGTTGTCAGAAAAAGATGTTCGATTAGCACGCTAGAAATTGGATACGAGAATGCATACGTACGCGTGACGATTTATCGATGACATGACACTGATGGACGAGGCACAACGCGTGGCACGGGGCGATTTATCAACTGTTGTGTAGAATTATCATTACAATATCGTGTAAAATTGGCTTGAAGAAGAAATCAGCAATATAGAAGCACGCCTCCAGATTTCCTTACTTGTCATGGCTAGTTCACAAAGTGAAATAGGCGCAATTTCAAAGAAAAAGAAAAGGCCCAGAAGAAAATACAAAGAGGGACACTTCAACTTGTGCCACATGCCATGCACGTTGTCGGATAATCTCCTTTCTCTCCCTGATCGGGGTCGGCGAAAGCATAATTTTAGGCAGACTAAAACAGTAATCAGTGACCGACAAGACCGAGACACAGATAGTTTCCAGAGCACAGATAGTGATGCAGATGTATCTGGTGTTGATTCTGACATCGACATGTATGGCATTGGTCGTGTTGGTTCTGCCAGCCATCATGATCATGATGGTGATGCGTTCGCTTTGGGCCTCGGGCCCAGTAGTAGGTCTAACCCATTGCCTCCTTCGACTTCAGCTTCGATAACATGGGACTCCAGTTCCGATAGCATGGAAGAAGATCCATCAAATCTCTCAAGTGCAAAAATACGACATGTAAGTAGGCTTATTTAATATTGTACTTTTGTAGGCCGGGCCATAGGCCCACTAGTAGTATTGTATATTTTTGTAGCTTATATTGTCATGATTTTAACGTATTGTCATGATTGTATCTAGGATTATTTTTGTGGTCACACAATGTCTCGGGTGGGGGCTAAGCATTTTTTATGTAAACGTCCGGATTTCAATGCAAATTATAAAATCTATGGAAATTCACAGACCACTAATGGTAAGAAAGAATTTCAACTAGGCCCCTAATCTCTCTCTTGTATATTTCAACAATGAAAACGTCTGTTCAGAAATAAATTGCAACAAAAACAGCAAAAACGGTTCATTACAATGTAGATTAGGTCGAGAATGTGAAAACTGAGGATTGCATTGATAAAAGGACGCAGTACTGTTGGTAATGGTGGAAAAAGTTTCGAGACTAATGTATGCGCATGTATTCTATGAACAAGTATCTTTTCGTTAATTTCATACCTCGGCTTGACCTAGTCAAGCATAATACTTTTTTTTCTGTCGGCAAATATGTCCAAAGTTTAGAAGAGCTGTACCAGAGTCCTAGTTACTCAAATTAACATTTCCATCCCATTTTGTCTCTGTTTTTGCAACAGCAACCTATCCATGAACTTGATGAAGTACATGTACATATAAGTGATGGTGATTGTGGTCAAACTCGAAGGAATGGAAAGCTGGATAAAATGGTAAGACAATCTTTGCCTGGCTATTGATTGTTAGTGGTAGTTTATGTGGCAAGGGTACTCATTTAAATAGTTAATATTTTACTGTTGAAGAAAATAAATATTTTGTTGACAAGTATAAGCACATGATGTAGCTTAAATGCTTCATTGTTTGAAGGAAATGTCAGTCTACTGCTGCATTAAGATTTTAAGATCACTCGGCCTAATCCAGGAACTATCTGTGCAATTACGGCTGTTAAAAGTGAGGTTGATAGTCTGAAATTGTGCGAAGCAATCTTACAAAATCATCCAAAAAGTGCATGTGCAAAGTCAAACACCTGCGCTTGACACATGCAACATGGCAGTGAGCAAGTATGTACAAATCCCATTGGGTAGGGCTTTTCATCTGCTAAAACATCTTCAGACAAGGCAGCTACCTTTGCACTAGCTTTCCCTTCTTGTCAACAGCCTTTACTTTCCAGGTCATCAGATGATGACTCAAATAGCTCAACCCAACAGAACCCCAACAGTGGAGACAACACAGAGAGTGAAGAGGATGCCCTCGTCGAATCTAGTCCATTAGATGAGGATGATCAGCTTAACCGCCATGACCTGGTAAATATTTCTTTTATTTTCCATGAGTTCTACACTGTATGATACTTAGCATGCGCAGAATAAATTTAAGTCATTCTTCTGTAGTTAGAGGGGAGAGAACAAAATTGGGGTTTATTTAAAAACTTTCAAAGATTGTGTATTTCTGCATTGAAAGGTAAAATGGACAGTACATTCTACTCTTGTATTTTTGAACATGTCCAAAGTACACAGTAGACTGCAGGAACATGTCAACAAAAATGAAGCGTCGTCATTTTACCTGTGCATATATTTTTACATGTAGCTGTTGATTATTAAGTGCAAAAAGGGAAGATTTATGCATTTGTCCCATATGATAAGTGTAAAACAGACACCTGAATTTGTGCTTCCTTACACGTGTAAGAGTTGATGCACTCTTTGACCATTGAATATATATGACTTAGTGTTTGTTCAGATGTTGAGTTTGTCATGGTTTTTGACCAGTGTCTCCGCAGTAGCTGTGTGGTTTATGACCATTACATGCAATTTGAACCTGCAATGCCTTACGTTTGCATATATTCTATAGTGCTTAGTGGGTCTAACATGTAACGAAATTGGCCTTTTCGTGCATATCAACAGCTCGTACATTCTAGCTCATCAGATGACGACACAAATAGCTCAACCCAACAGAACCCCAACAGTGGAGACAACACAGAGAGTGAAGAGGATGCCCTTGAGTCTAGTCCATTAGATTCTGATCAGCCTGACCATGACCTGGTAAATAAATTTCAAATAATTCATAGAGATTAATGTGAGAATTCTACAAGTTTCATCTTGGTAGGCTGTGCATTATGGCCCAACATTTCATAAGTGTGGGGAAAAGGAAATATCAATGCAGTTTGGTAAGTGTTAAACAAGGCCTGAGTCTGATGCACTCCAGGGCTCATTTAAGGATGGGGTTGTCATTATCTCAATTTTCCTCTCCTTTTAAAAAGTATCATGTGGTTTGTATATTTGCATCCATGCGGCTAACACAGCTACATAAATGGCTAGTACACAACTGACTCAAGATAAATGCAATGATCAGGGCAAGTTTTGAAAGCAATTATTTATATGAGGTACATACATGTAATATAAATTCATGTATCCCCCAATAGTTTTGATTCAAACAGTATCAATTTGTATTTTCGCATTTTGAGCTGTAATGTTGATGCTTAAACATGTGTTTGGTATGTGGGAATTCATCACATTTAAGAGCTTTTGCAGAATTGTTGCCATGCATAATATTGAACATTAATTGACGTTTATATGTATCTTTTATTTAAATAGGATGGTCTGCTGTATCCAGATGCTCAAGTGACAAAGAAGGAGAGTCTGCTGCTCATTATGGCCCATTGTCTTCGGCATGGATTGACACATGAAGGTCTAAGCAGTCTGTTGCAGCTGCTCCAGTTTCATTTGCCAAGGGACACCTTCTTTCCGGTCTCCAAGTATCTTTTTAACAAACATTTTGAAGGTTTTTGTGGCCCTCTTGATTGTCATGTATACTGTGGTTCATGTCAAGGTTATGTTGGGACAGACGGCAGACCTTGTTCTGACTGTGGGAAAGTCATCCACTATGATGACAGTATCACCTCTGGTAACTACTTCATTATTTTTAGCATTTCCCAACAGATTAAGATACTTCTAGAAGATCCGCAAATTCAAAATAAACTCTCCAAAAGTAGTGATAATGTACACAGTGGCCTCTGTTACCAACAGCTTCCAATGGGAGAGGGTGACCTCAGTGTTACTTGGGGATCGGATGGAGCAGCAGTCTTCAGTTCCTCAAATTTCTCCATTTGGCCTCTTCAATTGATGATCAATGAACTGCCCTATGCAGTTAGAAGGAAGCACATTTTGTTGGGTGGCCTTTGGTTTGGAAGTGGGAAGCCAAGGTTTGACTCATTTCTGAAGCCAGTTATCCAAGAAATGAACATAATGAGTAGTAAAGGAGTGTCTTGGGTAGATGCAGGCTTAAATCCTAGAAACAGTAAGGTGTTTCCCGGGCCACTTACATGTGATAGCGTGGCCAGATGCCAACTGCAGAACATCATGCAGTTCAATGGCAAATACGGCTGTTCATGGTGTCTCCATCCAGGTGAACAAGTTGAAAAGGGTAGAGGACACGCAAATGTGTACCCTCTGACTAACTTGGAAGAACTACCCAGGCAAAGGGACGAAAGGGCTTTCAAACAAGACTGTCATTTGGCAGTTGAAACAAACACAACTGTCAATGGCGTGAAAGGGCCATCCATCATTTTGTTATTATTTCACTTTAACATCATCTCGGGCTTTGTTGTTGATTATATGCATACAGTTTGTCTTGGTGTAGTCAGAGCATTGACATTTCTATGGCTAGAGAATACAGAGAAGCCATGTTATATTGGCAATTGTTTGTCTATGTTGAATGAACGACTTAGCCACATCAGACCTCCTGCAGAAGTCATGCGTATTGCAAGATCGCTCTCTAACAGAAGATACTGGAAGGCCCATGAATGGAGAGCCTGGCTTCTGCACTACTCACCATCAGTTCTTAAACATGTACTTCCTTTTACATACTATGCACATTGGATGACCTTGGTCACTGCAGTGTATATTTTGTCGAAAAACTGTGTGGACCATACAATGATAAATCAAGCAGAGGTTCTCCTAGTAAAATTTGTTCTTGAGTTTGAAGATCTGTACGGTAAAGAATACATGACATATAATGTCCATCAGCTCATTCACATGGCCGATTCTGTTAGGAACTGGGGTCCACTATGGTCAATATCTTGTTATGCTTTCGAAAGTATGAATCACAAACTTGGTAAAATGATTTCAGGTACTCAGTACGTACAAGTTCAAATTTCTAAGAAGTTTTTGCTGAGCAGAATACTCCCTCATATTGCGCTGGACTGTTTTCAGGAAAGTGAATCGCAGAGGAATTTCTTTGAATCAAGTATCAATCACTTTCCATTGTCAAAGTCTATTCAAAGAGATGTCTCTGGCATTTTGCTTAGAGGTGCACCCAAACTGCTTCGGCTTGGCAACAATGAAGGCAATTTGCTACAACAATTAGGATATACCTGTGAAACTGTACTTTGTTATAGTAGGGTCTCTATACGAGGTGTAACTATTACAACTGATACACACACCCATAAACGAAGGAAGCGAATAGACTGCTACATCAGCTTAAAAAATGGCACGGTTGCAGTTGTAAAAAGAATCATCTTGGTATGTTTATCGTGTAATGAGATAAACTCATGCAGCTGTGAGAAAACATGCATGCTATATGTGTCTGTTCTCAAAATAAGAAGTATTTTTGTTGTGGACAGGCAAAGATCTATAACACATGGCGGATTACATAGTGTAAAAGGTCATAAAGAATACAGGTTATGTTCATTAACTGAGTTTGAGAGCAAAGTTGCTTTTATTGACACTGGTAAAGATGAAGTACTGTCAATTCTTCCCAACATTGTTGATCAGGACTAAATGCTTGTAACCTGAGATCCTTGGGAACAATTCTGGCAAATGTTTAACTTGATGTACTGAAGTGTGTGTTTGTGTTATGTTCACTATCATAGGGCGAGTCTGAAATTTTGGTCTTAGGTTTTCTTGGGATGGGATTATTAAATAATCTTTTCAAAACATGAATATGTTGAGGATTAAAAAACACAATTTCTATTCACAAAATTTAATGTGGACTGTGATGGCATTAACATGTATTTCAGTTTTGCCCATGCAGTAACTTTGTAAAAATGTTAAATTCACAAAATTGTATTTATTTTCCCCTTGGTCGAAGCACTATGTTTGTTTGCTTGTAGATATTAAAGTTCATTGCGCTTGATTAACCTTGACGTGCAGTGTTTAATGTCTGTGAATTTGTAATTGTGTTTTATGCATGGAAATTGTAAACAAATTCATCATCATGCATCCTCATCATGGCTTGACTTTTCAAGATTCCAGACAGGTTGTGCGAAGCAAACAAGCAAACAGCAGCTTCTTTTATGATGTGCCTTCAGTCTTGTTGCAGAAGCGACTTGGTCATGTTTCATGTTGGTCATTATGCTCACGAGGCTCAGCAGAAACAAGAAGCAGTAATACATATTCAATAGAAATAATGGAAAATTCTGTACAGAAATGATTTCTATATACTCTCTATCAACCTCTATAGAGTGCAATTTCTATAGGGAATGGAATTACATATAACTTCTGTAAAGTTCTATAGAACAAAAAATTGTTCTATAGAATATTCTTAGAGGTTTCTATAGAAATTTTAGTGTTCTATATATGTCTATAGAGGTCTATAAATCATTCTATAGAATTCTATAGAAGTTTTTCGTAT